CCATATCGTGCTGTTCCATGAATTATATTCCTAGCCTGCTGTGCTCTCTATTAGAAAGCAAACAGTTGCTGTGAGGAGGTGTACTGAAGAATTGCCTCCCTGCTAGCTGTCTGTCTCCTCCTGACGATTTGGCGAGCCGGTGGCTGCTCAGTAAAAGTGACATTGTGAAGTGTCTTGTCTCAGGAGAGCACTGACGCCACACCCAGCAGAATGTCTTACTCTCCATGCCATCTAGAACTGAGCTTCTCTCCGGTTTGGGAGGTGCAGGTTTTGCTACCATCTCTCTGCCTTGCCATCACTAGCAAAATAACACCTTCCAGACTAGAACTGTCCTGTTCTCCTGGTAAACGCCACATACTTAATAGTTCCTCCCTTTCAGCATTTCCACCCCGGAATTATTATTTTATAATTGTTTGTTCCTCTTCTAGTTGGTCCCACTTGGGACATTTCCTGAATAACAGCACATAATAATTTCTGGTAGTGTGCAGGCAGTGCAACCTGGACGGATTCGTTCTCATCTCTCAGCCGTCTTGTGTATTGCCAACCTCACTGAAGTGCTGGCACTGTGTTCATTTTCGTTGGCACGTGTCCTGCAGGCTTCTGAGAGTCTTGGGCAAAGACACACACCATGGTTATACCTCACCCAGCGGGGCTTACTCACTTTTAGCTCCCTTTGTCCCTTACTAATGCTGTAATTCTCCAGAAACATTCAGCTCATTGCACTCTCAATTTCCTGTCTGTGTTTACAGCGCAGAAGCAGAACCCTAAAGATGTGGAGCTGTGACAGCAGCACTGCCGAACGCTGGCCCATCTGCTCGGGGAGGGCACTGCCTCGCGGAGGGACGGGCTGTGACCTGCTCCTCTGAGTAACCAAACCCGCTGGCTTCACAAGGAGCATCTGCACAGCAGGGTTCTGGGTTAGAGCTGGTGCAGTCCTGCCCATAATGAGCACATCAGGTAAATCATATTTTTAGGTTTAATGGAATTACTCCTGATTTACATTGCCCTAATTGCTCCGACTCGGTAAGCACCCTTTTCCTACAGCACAGCCATACAGTTGCAGAGGAAATGGATTAAGTATAAGAGTATCTGCCTTTTATTAGAAGCCACCATTGATTTAATTCGTCTGGGGCAAATAACTACATGAAATAATTACCTGCAGTTGAACCATCTTGTATCTGAGAGTGATGTCGGAATTCGACAGAGCAAAAATCATTTAGTTTGATGTCTTTTTAAAAACTGGTTTAAAAAAATTCTAGAAAAAAATAGACTATTTCCTTTCATATGCTATTGAGGAATAAATTACAAAGGCCTTTATGGAATTTTCTATACAGACATTATGCCAAAGATTATATCACTTTTTGAAATGAAATATTTGTACAGCTGCTATAATAACTTTGTCTCTCTTGAGTGACAAAAGGAAGCAAAACCATAAGTCAAAACTTAGCTTAGTGCAAGGTATGGAAATAAAACGTGAGTAATACACTAAATGGGATAACTTGTTAATAACCCATTTGTTGATTGTACTTTATGAATGGTGAATATTTGATTCTCTTTACAAGCATTTCTGAATTGTTAGATGAAATGTCTCTTGTGAATCCTTTCATAGGCTGTCAGTAGTGCTGACTCTTCCTTTAAGGAGACATCGTTGTGCAGTGCTGTTTGAAATGAGGCCAGAGAGGAGATTTCCATGCCTAATGTATTTTCTCTTTGTGATCATTCCTTAGCAAAGAGAATTCACACTGGGATAAAGAATATATACCTAGATTGTAAGGGACAGTGTTTGTATTAAGAACCTCCCATAATTCAGGAGGCTCAGTGCAGAGAAGAAAGGGAATGGGTCTCGCCTGCTCTGGCACAGTCCAAAGCAAGGACACAGCAGCAGACAAAGATGTCTTTTTCTTTCTCTTGGTCTCTGCAAGATCATTACCCATGGGATTGGCAGTGCTTGGTTACTCCGTTGTAGCACTGTTTCTTTGGAAGATCTGGGAGAAGGGGGGTTGTGCTGACACTGGCTGCCTCTCCGCTTGCCTGCCTGTCCTTGCCACCCCCAGCCCTGGTTGCGTCTCTTTGTGAATTTCAGGGAAATTTGGGGGTGAAATTACAACTGCAAAGATAGTGTTCCTGTAAGTTTGGAGAGATTACAGTATAAACTCATCCTTTAGGAGAGATCAGAGAATCTAGTTGACATTCATTTGCCCCAGCCACAAGAGAAGTTTCAGAGCTTAGACCTTACTGGATGTGCAGGCCAGCTACCTGGAGGCACAGCTCTGTGGAAAATCATGCTTCTCTTTCTAGAGTTGCTTGTTTCTTACTACAACTGAATTCTCTAGTTGGAAGATGAAACTGGCCTTTCTGTACATGTTTTACCAGAATTTATCAGTCATGTTAAAGACAGATAAATAAGAGGGGAAGCTGCTTGAAATCATCACTCCCAAGACCTTCAGTTTATAAGTGTGAAATGACCAGAGGAAAGAACATTTCAGCATATTGTAAGTTCTGTTAAAAGCTGCCACAGAGCATGGCAAGGTGCAGTTCATGTAATAAAATACATTCTGTGGGAAGGGAAACTGAAGTGAGTAATACATCATCTGCCTTCAGTGGATACGGTGATAAATAAAAGTGACTTTCTTCTCAAAAACACCGATGAGCATTTCATTCCATATACAGAGGGAAGGCACAGAACGAACCGCCCTCACCAAAGTGTCCACGATTCTGCAGAGAGGCCCAGAGGCTCTATGTGCATCACCAATAGAGCAAGGTCAGTAACATACTTAGAGAGGATCATGTTGAGGAAACTCAGAAAACTTGTGGTTGATACCTGCTGTAGGTATAATGATTCAGGATACAGAAGAAAAATTTTCCAAAGTAGGGAAAATAAATTTCCCAAGCATCATTAAAATTGTTTCTAAACACCCAGCAGTAATGTGGCAAGAGCAAATGAGGATGTCACAGGCAATGGAAACAGGGAATTTAAGAATGAAAGTAACTCATCACATATCAGGAAGCAGTAGGACGTGCTGGAGTGAATGAAGCTGGTTTCCCACAGTTCAGCATCCAGGTTAATTGAAATTTCAACTGAAGTTTTCTTTATGGTGAAAGTATTTATAAAGCCTCTGCTTTGTGATCACTATTTTCTAGTGAAGATGGACTCTGCTGCAGCCTGTCTCTTGTCTAGGGAGCCTGCTGTGATCCATCTCCTCTGATCTGCTGCTCATTTTCATAAAACTTGTGGGAACTTAATAGCTTTGACACCACCAGATTGAGATGAAAATGATCATTTTGTCAGAAGGAACTGAGGGATGGGAGTGGAAGGGGAGACATGCGCAGGCATATATCCACCCTCTGGCAGCGTGCTCATGTGTTTCCTGAGGAAGCCAGGCTAAAAAATAACGGTCCAAACAAGGGTGAATGATGCTTCTTTCTCTTCTTATCTCTTGACTGTATTTCTGACCAGGCTCACACTGTTAATCTTGAGATTTAGAACACCGTCCTTAATTTAAAGTTGACTTGGCGGGGGCAGAGGTGACTGTGATTTGTAAATAGAAGGAAATGAGCCCTGGCCTTTAGCTGGCACAGCAGAGATTAACAATCAATAGTCCAGCAGGACAGATAAATCACAAAAGCCAAGTCGAATCCTGTACAGTTAAAGGCCAGATGGATGGTCCAGATCCAGGACTGTGCCTCGTGTGGAAGGCAGGATGGATGCTCCTCTCTTCTGCAAATTTCTGACATGAGGGTTGACAGTTGGTCCTGATAAATAATGCAGAATCCTCAAAACAGAGGCAGCTGCCATGTGAACGGGACGAGGGAGAGGCACAGGCTCAGGCTGTGAGGGAGGAGTGTGGCTTTCCAGCGGGTTCTGCAGTGAGGACGGTTCTGTGGCTGAATGGGGCACAGGGGGTTGGCTGGATGACCTAGGCTGCTCTGGGGTGTAAGCCTTCCCTGTGCCCTGGCAGGGCAGCTTGCAAATGGGGAACGAAGGAGGGGTTATTCAGAGAAGATGTCGTTCCCTGAGCTCTGATCCTTGTCACACGGAGCGGTGTGGCCGTGAGTTCCCTTCCACTGCCTGTCCCGTCTGGGGCTCCAGCACCCGAAATCGCTGCCTCCAACCCTGCCCTGGCAGGAGGGAGGACACCGCAGCAATCCAGCTGTGACACAGCTAGTGCATTTCAACGTGGGTAGAACTGGGCAAGAATCAGGTTGTTAACAACACAGATTTCTAACTGAGTGGATTTGTAGTTACCCAGACTAGCAAGTAATTGCAGCAGCCTTGCAGTATTACCCTTCATCAGAAAACACTTGTCCTGCATCCCCATCGCATATTTGAACTCAAAGTGATGCCAAAAGGAAGAGAGAGCCAGAGTCCTCCAAGAAAATTGCACTGAACCTGTCTGTCCACTTCACAGCTGAGTATCGGGAATGTTGTCAGCTCGTAAGCTTCACCAGTACTGCGGTTTCTCAAGAGAAAACGTTCATGATGTGCCAGAGCACACTTGGCTGCGGTTCTCCCCGTGTATTCAGCTGGAGCAGACAGTCAGGCTGGAGGGAATCATGCGGGGAATGAAAGTTTTATACACCCCAGACTGCGCTGAGGTGCCGCTCGGGCAGGCAGCACCTGGCTGATGTGTGGCAGTTACCTGTCAGGACAGAAAGGTTCTCTCTGGGTGACCCTGCAGCCAGTGTCCCTGTGCAGTGTGTGCCCGTACACGGGCAGGCTCCCCACGGGAGCAGGGACACGGAACAGCCGAGCACACACACACCTTCTGCTTCAGCTTCAGAAGCGGCTCGTGCGGCTCTTCCCCGCGCCGAGCCGGGCGTACGGAGGTGCGAAAGAATCCAAGCAGCGCTCCAGCTCGTGCTGCACAGCCCCGGAGCAGCCCTGGGCTTTACGGGAATGACACTGACGCTGACATCAGATCTGAGTATTTGCATTGGATTTCAGTGTCGGCATCGGAGGTGTGGCTTAGCAGGGACACTGGTTCAGTCTTCTGATCCAGCTAAGAGGCAGCTCCGGCTGAGAAGATACTCACTCCCCTTGGCTCTGCTATCCTGCTCGCATCTGACTCCTCCCTCCTGCAGCTCCGAACAGCGCAGGGTGAATCCAACAGCCTCTCATTTCTACTATGTTTCTCCCTGAGCTACTAGAGCTTGAACATACCTGATATTCTGCCTTCGATTCAGCTGAACTCGTGAGTAAGGGTGAATGGCATGTTATTACCTGAGGAGCCCAAATTAACCATCTCCCAGGACTGAAAGGATTATGAAGAACTGCATTTTTTTCAGCACCTTTAGTACTTCATTGTTGCCTGATTTTTCATGAGCATGAATTGTTCTGGTTATCAAGGGTGCTTTCACCTGAATATTTCTTCCTCAGATACCACAAAAGAGAGTCTAGGAAAACAAAGAAACTTACGATATGGAGCTGACAGTTCTGGATTCAGATAGTGTAAACTTGCAGAGTCAGTGAGAAGGCAAAGAAAAAAAATTGCCAAGGACAATGTCGGTAACGCCTAGTAATTTGTCACTCAATGGGACAAGCTTCTTCACTGAAAATCACAGCGTTATGGATGAGCCTAGTGAGGAGAGAACTTTGAATGTCTTTCTATTCTGCTTGACTGTCATCATTGCATTCACAGCACTTCTGGGCAGCATTTATTCACTGGCTTCCCTGCTGAAAATGCAGAACAAAACCACCGTTTCCATGATTGTCACCTCTTTGTCAATAGATGATTTGATCAGCATTGTGCCAGTGATTATTTTCATGCTCACCCAGTGGTCAAGCGATGTCCTCCCCCAGCCTCTGTGCACCACCTCAGCACTTATATATTTATTCCAGGGCATTTCTAGCAACCTGAAAGGGTCTCTTATAGTTTCTTACAACTTCTACACCATCAGCAAAACTGAGACAATGAGCTGCAGCACTTCCAAGCGACGAGTGAGCATGGTATGGGCCATTCTCACCATCTGGATTGTCAGCTTGCTGATCTGCATTTTGCCTCTCTGTGGTTGGGGCAGGTACATCCCCACCTCCTGGGGCTGCTTCACTGACTGTGCCAGTTCCTACATCTTGTTTTTATTTATTGTCTACTCGCTGTGCTTTTGCCTCCTCACAGTGCTCTCTGTTCCACTAACTTACCAGCTGTTGTGCTCGGATGAGCAGCAGCTATTACACATTGATTACCAGGAAATCTCTCGAGGCCACACCACCCCTGGGACACCTGCGGGCTGCAGTGCTGCTACCCCGTCTCTGTCACCGCTGGACCCTGTGGATAAAACCCTGAAGCATTTCCAGAGCTCATGTCCAAGCTCGGAGGCAGTTTTGAGGACAGGTGTGGCTGAGAGCGGTGCCCTCGAGCCGCCTTGCACCAACAGCACACAGAGCAGGAGCTTCACCGTGGCCTTCGCCCAGAAACGCTTCTCGCTGATTCTTGCGCTGACAAAAGTCATTCTGTGGCTTCCAATGATGGTAAATGCTCAGATTGCTTTGCTTCCTCGTGCTTACTTACGTTGAAGTGGGATGCGAGTTGGTGTGCCATGGATTGCAACAGAACAGGAGCCATTCCAGTTGTTCCTTACAGTGTAGTTTGTGCTGGCAGAAGTCCTTTCAGGCAGGTCTGTGTCGCTGCGTGGAATTAACTGCCTTTCAGCAGGTCTGGCAGAGCCTGATTCATCACTATCATCGCATCATTTGTACCACCTGAATGCAGGGATGAATAAGGTCCAGCTTTGTATTGCCAGCTGGCTGACAAGCGTTTGTTCAGCATTATGGGCTCTTGCACTAAGCTGGCTCTTCTGCCCTTCCTCACAACTGTGAGTCACGTCCTTTGCCAGACTGGTTAAAAACCAGGAGTTTGTTAGAAAAATGAGATTTGTTTGCACCTCTGTAATCTCTGTAGCATTGCGGGGGGCAGGGGGAGGGAGGGCTGTCCATGTGCATGTACTGGTGTATTGGGGAACAGGTACCTTCACGGATAATGAGAAAGGAGTTTGCTGAGAACATGGAACATGGGGCTGGGGCAGTGTTATCCCCGTCCCCTGTGGATGTAGGGACTCAGCACCTCAGCTTCTCCCAACAGAAAGAGCGTTCCAGAGCACCTGCAGTGCAGCCCTGCGTGGTGCTGAGCTCTCTCTCCTGGTCCCCAGCAGGAGCTGGGGTTCCTCAGTACCACGCAGGAGGGTCTGAGCTAGCGGTCTTTTCTAAGTTGCTTGGGTTGTCAGTTGCTTGTTTTAATAGTGCCCAGGCATCTATATTGAGCTTAAACTGGAGTTTTTCTGAGAAGTGCAGAACGAGGAGGAGAGCCTCTGTCAGTGTGTTTTCTCCACTCTGTCAGAAACAAAATCGTTAGGCTCAGCAAACACTAATGACAACCTGTGTCTTTTACTTGTGTCATATCCATGGTGAGATGTTCTGTTTATTCCTGGAAGTATCTCGTGTGCCTGAAGCGATTTTAACTTCAAAATGCTCTGCCTTTCAGATACAAATGGTTGTCCAGCACATCACTGGTTTTCAGAGCCTTTCGTTTGAGACTCTTAGCTTCCTGTTGACTTTGCTGGCTGCCACAGTCACCCCAGTATTTGTCCTGTCAGAACACTGGATCCACCTGCCCTGTGGCTGCATCATTAATTGCAGGAGGAATTCGTATGCGGTGTCTTCAGAAGAACTCAAAAGTAGGTATGGGAGGGTGGTACGCAGCTGGGATGTGTCTTGTTGTGAACAGGGTAGGAAGTTAGTGTCAGTAACAGTGCTCTGTGCTCCTTGAAATCATTTACCTGCGTTACATGGACATGATGCAGAACGATGAATGAGACTCACAACACTGATGTGAGACAGCTGGATGGAAGTAGTGGGTGCTCAGGCACAAAGCTTGACTGATTTTCCCTGGGCACTGTCAGATCTCTTAGCAGAGTCCAATGGACTCTGAATCCCAGTTTCACTCTCCTCTCCTACCCTGGGGAAGATACATCTACCAAAGTCTGACTTCTACTAATCAAATACATGGAACATGCTAAACACTGATGTCATGGGGGGACACAACCATGGGCTGTAGCTACTGCCCAGAAATCACAGCGACACCAGTAAGCAAACAGCAAAGAACGTGATTTATGGGAGGGGCCTGAATCTCGGTGCCTTCCTGCTGCTTGTTGAAAGCTGAGGAACTCCTACACAGTTTTTGCCTAAAAATATTTCCCTGCATTTACCTTGGTGTAACAGAGGATGCCAGACCTTCACTGGTAACCTTCTTGGCATCTTCTAAAGCCCTGTTTTGATCTGGGCCTCCGTGTAAAAGCAGCTGGAGGAATCCCTGCACACGCTGGCTGCCGCAGCCTGTCTCCTGCCGTTACACAACTTTTGTTCTTTTCATAAAGAACTTGGTCATGTGGTGATACTCAGAGAAACAGAAGACAGAGCAATACAGCTGTCACTGCATGAACTTACCTCCAGTGAAAAACACATGTAGGGTTCTGTGAACACGAGTAACGTTCATATCTGGGGCTAAAAGACTGCATCATGCTTTCCTGTGAATTTCCTCATGAAATGCCTCGACCTCCAGTGTTTCTGTGTCTGCACAGAGGGGTTGCATTTAGAATTACAAATGAAAATGTTTTCAGTATTCTTCTGAGAGAAGTATTTCTTATTAAAATGTTTTATTGAAGCTTATTATAACTACTAATATAAGTTAATTGTCTTTATTAGTGATTAATTTACATTCATTGCATGCAAGTGTGTGCTTATATGGTCATAAATGTTTGCTTTCCAGGACAACCGAAAATGTACAAACTTAAAAAAATTCAGCTCTTCAACAGTTGGTAATTCTGGAAGTTTGAAGGGTAGAAATCTGCCTGAGCATATTAAATACATCTGTGTCTGTTAGATCTCTGCTCAAGTGTAGTAAATATGTGCTGGTAAGAAATAATCAGTAAGGAAACCTACAAGGAGGGAAGATAGAGCAATAGTTGAATTTTGATTTACAGTCATAATTATTATAAAGAATAACAACAGAAAAATAATTAAAATTTCCTATTTATAATGCTGCAATTACATTCATAGAGGAAAATCATAGATTTATGCATTCATTTTCAGAAGTGAGAGTTGCAGTGATGGAGTTTGATACAGTTGTCCCTTGAGGCCTGGTCCAAGGGGAATTAAAAGTGCTGGCAAATTGTATTTAGAAAGTTTGGAATGGAATGGAATGGAATTAGAATAGAATAGAATAGAATAGAATAGAATAGAATAGAATAGAATAGAATAGAACGGAACAGAACAGCTACAAGGATCTCCTAGTCCAACTGCAAAAGTTAGGAGCTAAATGCTTCTGAGGATCTGGGTGGTGTTTCCCCTTCTCCGGAGTGAAAGTTCTCCAACATCAGTGGATGAATCCCTGACACTTGGTGCGTGTTTAGGGACAAATCAGCCCCAGAGTGCCAAAGCCATTCTCACTCATGGCTTTCCCTTGGTTTGAACACGTTCTCCATATGCAGAGTGGCTTGTGCTGTGACTGATGATGTTTTAACCGCTCTCCCGGAGGGGATGACTGCAGTTCATCAAGGAGACAGTTTATTTCAGAGAAAAAGGTACAACAGATAGAACAGTAGCAATTATAAAATTATTTCAAATAAATCTGTGTCTTTTAGATATTTGTACTGAAGACTTCTCAAGTTTTAATGCAGTGACTGCTGAGGTCAGAATTTCACCCACATTAAATTAAATATGATCTAGTAAGCACACAAATGCTTGAGTAGAAATGGATGTTGTATAAATGTATGCCCATACCTTTTGTTTTAGAATTTAGCATGAAAGGTTTAGTAGGAAGATTATTTCATTAGTTAAATAAAAGGCATTTCTTTAGTTACTGCATAATGTAAGATGACAAGGGGGAGGATGAAGAATCCCGGGTGATTTGTGTTCAAAAGGAGGAAGAATGAAAGGGTATAAATAATGATTGAGAATTTTTACTTAATTGCTCAATTACTGCGTAAGATCAGTTGGAGCATTGAATTTAGAATGGAGAATATACAATACTTTCATTATGTAAATACTTCAGATATCTGTTTTTATTGTAGAATTGTGTTTTTCTTGCTTGATTATTGATGTTGAGGGTCAGTTATATATTCTCAGAAATGTTTTATCATTTTGTACATCTTTTTACCTTTAGCTATATAGCTGAAACGGCCTCTGAAAAAAAGACTATTACAAAATCTAGATATTTACTTCTCGTGTGTATTCCATAAAATATCATATATCCTGGTTTTGGAAATGGCAGACAGCCTACCAGTTTCTGGGAATCCATTAACTTTGGAATGTGTAATTTCTGAATCATTAAGAAGGCAGTCTAATAACATACTATCTGAGAAGTCTTTCTTCTCAGCAGTTCATCCTTTCTTTGGATAGAAAATTGTCTGTTTCTAGCAGTAGTTAAATAATTTATTCCATGTTTTAGAATGTCATTTTCATTGTGTATGTAATCTCATTTTTCTCCTTGGTTTTGACCCTTTTTAATATGACTTTTCTTCCCTTTCTGCTTAGCCAAACGTAGGGGGTTCGAATTCAGCCTGTCATTCCAGCAAGGTTATGGAATCTACAGAATATCCCACGAAAACCACCACCAGCAGCAGCAGCATGGTGATGGTAAATCTCCATCCTACCACAACCTGGTGAGCTACGACTGCGGTGACTCGAAGGAAGCTGGGAGCGGCAGCGGCGAAGCCCCGCACTGCGGGTTCAGCACCACGGCCCCGGCGGACAGCTCCCGGGGGGGCCCTGCGGCCGGGCGGGGGCCGGGCCAGGAGAGCAGCACCCACCGCCTCCTGCCTGGCAAACTGGGAGCCCTGGGAAGAGAGGAGCTCGGAAATTTTGATACGGTGACTTGTTTTGAAGGACCAGAAAGGAGGTTGTCTCATGAGGAAGGCCAGAAACCTGAACTCACAGACTGGGAGTGGTGCAGGAGTAAGTCAGAGCGGACCCCTCGGCAGGTAAAATACAAATTTCCTCTTATTTTTTCTCATAGTAGCAATTACCTAACGAAAAAATAAGAATAATTTTTACTTATGTTGAAATTACTAGTAGTCCTATTGGTAGTGTAGTTACTTCTAGTAAAAATCACACTGAGCATTGTACATTTTAGGTGTCAAGAGGATGGGGCCAGGCTCTTCTCAGTGGTGGCCAGCAACAGGACATGGGCAACAGGCACAAGCTGGAACACAGGAGGTTCCACTAAACATGAGGAAAAACTTGTTTCCTGTGAGGGTGACAGAGCCCTGGGACAGGCTGCCCAGAGAGGGTGTGGAGTCTCCATCTCTGGAGATGTTCAAACCCACCTGGACACTTTCCTGTGCAACCTGCTGTAGGGAACCTGCTTTGGCAGAGGGGTTGGACTGGATGATCTCCTGAGGTCCCTTCTAACCCCCACCATTCTGGGATTCTGTGTAACCACACACCTATTTGCAGATATTTCTGATGCTGCAATAATTTCTCACTTGTCTTCTTAATAATGGGATTTTAATTATTATTACTGTTATTTTGTGTGCCCCTGCTGAGGGTTTGAGTGTGCACTTTGGAATTCAGTAGACATTTGGCATTACAATAGGTAGGAGTAGGGTAAGAGCCTGTGTGAAGTCCACAAGACAGGAGCTGCAGAAGGCTTTAGGTTGGAAAGGACTTCTGGAAGTCACCTAATCCAACCTCCTGCTCCAGGCACAGCTGACTTCAAAGCTAGATTAACTTGCTCTCGACCTTTGGTACACATATAAGTAATGTATATACGATGTATTTTATATCTAAGTCAGGGAATCCCCTTTCCCTCTGATAAACATGAATTTGAGTCAAAGTAGGAATTGGCTTGATATTTCAAACTTGACTGATCATCCCTTTCATGGAAAAGCAAATGTTCACTCCGTGGCAGCGTGTGGTGTTTGTGGGCAAAACTGAATGATGGTTCAGCCTGGTTTTAATCTACTAGTTCTTGCTAACCCCTTGTGTGCCACGTGTAGATTGGTTAATAAAGTCAGTGTATCACTGGGTTCATCATTAGCTGTGCCTCTCCTTGCAGCAGTTTCCAGATGGTGTTTAAAAAAATAAATAAAAATTTCCTTTTCCCATCTCCCACTGGGTGGCTGCCGTTTGGAACTGCCAGCCCTGGGACTTCATTACAGCAGGTACCAGCACCTCTTTGTGAAGCAGCTGCCTGACTGCACGTGGATGGCTTTATTTGCCCTGGGGCTGCACATGTCACTGTTGGACATACCTCTTCACTACTTGCTTTACAAGGAATCCCAATTCATCCTTTTCTGACATTTTCCAAGTTAGAACCCAGTGTGCAGTTGCCAGGCATTAAGGCTCCTATGGTCTGAAAGTTCAAGGCTTCTGAGTACAGATCTCTCTGTTTCTGACATTCAGTGTGAGCTTCCAGAGCTTCACAGCGCTGACATTTGCTTTGCTGCTGAAAAAGGGCAGAATATGAAACTCCAGCAGGCATGGGAGAAATCACTTTAATGCATTTCTCAGATGGATGTTGGATGAAAGATCAATTTGGGGCAAACATTAAATAAGTTGAAAGCCATCTTTGTTATTTATCCTGTCTGGAAGTCCCCAAGGTATCTAAGAAAAGTTACTTTCTCTTCATCACTCTCCA